TTAGGGCTTCCTAATCAGAAGACCTGAGTTGGAATCCCAGCGCTGGCACCCGTTCATCGTGGTGCTTCAGAAAAGCGATCTTCCCCAAGTGTCAGTTGCCTTTGCTGTAAAACGGGCGTGCTGATAATACCTACTTCCTAGGATGGTTGTACGGATTGAGTGAATAATACACAGAGCATTTAGAACAGTGACGGTAGTAAGTGCTCAGTAAGTGTTAGCTAGTGTAATTATCGACAAGGTCTACCAGACTTGCGGGACCTGGAATGAAGGTTTCCCCATCTTTTTTTCCATTGTGTATGCTCCAGCTCACCTTTTAAGAAATTCAGTATTTTTAATGATATCACTATTGGTCTCAGAGCAAACCCCTTCCAAACTCCTCCACAGACTTTCTCCCACCATAGACCAAGATCTGACCAAGTAGAGCTCTGCCCCTAATCACAGCTTCATTTGCATGGGGCTATTCTCCTTGAACCGTCGTTATGTAAAGCTGGGTTCATTGCTAGGCAACAGCGAGTGGAGTGTGCGCAGTACAGCTTTCACCGGTACTTCCACTTGGTAGAGTTTCCACCGTCGAACCATTCCACGTTGCGGGCTGATGTTAGCGCTCATTATTTTGCCTCCCTTCCTCCCCAAGGCCTGACTGATCTACACATTTTCTCCTGAATTTATTAATATAATTTCTTTTAGTTTTAATCTGGCTAGTCTCAATGTCTCTGCCATCCTCATACGCATAAGATTTTGTGTTTGAACAAGTCTAGCCACGGAACACTTCATGCGTTCCTTTCTTGATTTATGTCCTAAATAGAGTGGCCTACACACCCTCCTTTCTTATTTTTAAGTTTTCCAACCTCTTCCTCCTCTCTCCCCACTTTATGGAGATGATGACTTCAGTTTTTTGGACAATTTCCTTTTTGGACAGACCAGCTCTGCCACTCAGTAAGTAGCTAGGTGATCTTTGACAATATACAGACCCTTTGGGTGTTTTTTTTTTTTTTTTTTTTTTTTTATTTTTTTGTCTTTCTTTGGTGTTTTTTCTTTTTTTTTTTTTTTTTTCTCTGTCTCTCCCTAAAAGGGGAAACTAAAAATACCTACCACACTGGGTTCCACAGAGAGTTAAATGAAATAACCAGTCTTCAACACATGGTGAGAGCTTGAGAAATCTTAGATCAGTGGCTGTAATTTTTTCTTTTTTGGACTGGGACATAGAGTAAGGAATAAAGTTTACATTGCCATCCTGTTCACACACACATATCCCAAACACTCAAACTGGTGGCCGTTGAGTTGATTCCGTCTCATGGCAACTCCATGTATTACAGAGTAGAACAGTTCCATAGGGTTTGTTTGGCTGTAATCTTCATGGGAGCAGATCACCAGGCCTTTCTTCCATGGCACCACTCATTTACTCATTAAATAGGTAAATATGTCATTTATTTACTCATTCATTCATTCTCTGTCATCCATCCATCCATTCATTGATTCTCATCCTTATTTCTTTATATTCATCTATCCACTCTTTTAATTGCTCTCATTTATACACCTATCATTTCATTTACTCTTATCCATCATTCATTCATTCATTATTCCAGCCATTCATCCATCTCTCCCTTCATCAATCAATTAATCAATTTTTAATCCATTCACTCATTTCATTCATTTATTTATTTAGCTATTCAATATCCATCAGTCTACCCATGTACTTATCTATATGGTAAGCCTGAGATTTCTTCATCATAGTTTATCCAGTGGCTAACACAAGGCTTGCTAGAAACCAAATGTATAGGGAGTAATAATAGTCATAATAATAGTAATTTCACTTTCTCCCATGATTACCTTTCATTTTGCCTGGTGATTCACATATGTTACTCCTAATCTTCACCAACAGCCCTCCAAGACACAGGTGGGACTTCAGGGAGTCTGTGTGATTGTTGTCAGGTGCTGTCGAGTCAGCTCTGATTCATTGCAACCTTATATATAAGAGAATAAAACGTTGCCCGATCCTGCACCATCCTCACAGTAGTAGGTATGTTTGAGCCAATTGTTGCAGCCACTGTGCTAATCCATCTCATGGAGGGTCTTCCTCTTTTTCACTGACCCTCTACTTTACCAAGCATCATGTCCTTCCCCAGGGACTTTATGGTTAGGTTGCTGTTTTTCCCCCCTGTGGCTCTCTTTTAAACAACACCAACAACTATCTCTTCCAGTTTGTTGAGTCAAGACTTCTGGACTTCAGTGACTTTAGTTTCCTTTCTCACCTTCACTTTTAAATGGGGACTTTACCACATTCAACATCTGCAAAGCAGTTTATGGTTCTCGAGGCGATGGTTCCTTGTATTTGTCACCCATAAATGCTCAGAGTTACCAAGAGTTCATAAAGAGACTGTGGTGTGTCTGGTGTAGTTTCTCCATTCTATCTCCTTTTACCTGGTGAACTCTGCTCATCCTTCAGGTCTCAGATTAGATGCTGCTTCCTCTGCAAACTCTTGCTTGACCCATATATGCTGCCACAGTGCCTTGTTTTGTTCCCGCTGAAGCACTTATTTTAGTGTATTATGATTCTCTGTCTTCCAGACTAAGGAGCCCTGGTGGCACAGTGGTTAAGCACTTGGCTGCTAACCAAAAGGTTGGTGGTTCAAACCCACCATCTGCTCGGTGGGAGAAAGATGTGGCAACCTGCTCCCGTAAAGATTACACCTTGGAAAACCTATGGAGCAGTTCAACTCTGTGCTATAGGGTCTCTATGAGTTGGAATTGCCTTGATGGCAATAGGTTTGGGTTTTGGTCTCCCAGACTACACCACAAGCTCCTTCCAAGAGGAACCAGGTTGTGCCATCCTCACAATTGTTGCTATGTTTGAGCCCATTGTTGCAGTCACTGTGTCAATCCATTTCATTGAGGGTCTTCCTATTTTTTGTTAATCTTCTGCCTTCCTAAGCATGATGTCCTTCTCCAGGGATTGCTCCCTCCTGATGACGTGTCCAAAGTAACAAGATGAAGTCTCACCATCCTCACTTCTAAGGAACATTCTGTCTGTACTTCGTCTGAGACAGATTTGTCTGACAGTCCATGGTATATTCAATATTCTTTGCCAATACCATAATTCAAATGTGTCAATTGATGCATTAGTACACAGGAGGTCTTAGGAAATATACACCACTTGAACATGTATGTTTCCTTCAGCTCTCTATGCTGAAGGCTACATAAGTAGACTTCACATTTCTACCCTTCTTCAGTAGGCTGGATAATGGTCCTCAAAGATGTCTATTTCCAGAACCTGTGAATATGTTACCTTATGTGGCAAAAGGGACTTTGCAGATGTTAAGTTAAGGATCTTGAGATGGGGAGATTATCCAGGATTAACTGGGTGGGTCTATGTAATCACAAAACCCGTTGCCATTAAGTTGTTTCCAACTCATAACAACCTCACTTGTGACAGAATAGAACTGCCCCATAGGGTTTTCCTGGCTGTAATCTTTATGGGAACAGATCACCAGGCTTTCTTCCATAGTATTGCTGGGTGAGTTCTAATCGCCAACCTTTAGGTTAGCAGCTGACTGCAAACCAATTGTGCCACCCAGGGATCTTAGTGGAATCACAGGGTCCTTAGAAGAGGGAGGCAAGAGAGAGTCAGAGAAGGAGATGTGGCAACAGAAGCAGAGGGAGAGAAGATGTCGTGACCATGGAAGCAGAGGTCAAGGAGGTGAGAGGCCATGGCTGAGGAATGCAGGTGGGTCTGGTGGAACACCTTGTGATCCTTCTGGGGAGGTTTGTGAGAATCTGCTGTGAGGCAGTCTTAGTTATCTAGTGCTGCTATAACAGAAATACCACAAGTGGATGGCTTTAAAAAACAGAAGTTTATTCTCTTACAGTCTAGTAGGCTAGAAGTCCGAGTTCAGCATGCCAGCTCCAGGGGATGGCTTTTTCTCTCTCTGTTGGCTCTGGAGGAAGGTCCTGGTCATCAATCTTCCCCTGGTCTAGGAGCTTCTCAGTGCAGGGACCCCGGGTCCAAAGGATGCGCTATTCTCCTGGCTCTTGTTTCCTGGTGGTATGAGGCCCCCTACTCTCTTCTCTCTCCTTTTATCTCTTGTAAGATAAAAGGTGATGCAGGCCACACCCCAGGGAAACTCCTTTTACATTGGATTAGGGATGTGACCTGAATAAAGGTGTTACATCCCACCCTAATCCTCTTTAACATAACCTAATCTTACCTTATTAACCACAGGCAGAGATTGGGATTTACAACACATAGGAAAATTATATCAATCACAAAATGGAGGACAACCACACAATACTGGGAATCATGGCCTAACCAAGTTTATAGATATTTTGGGGAGACACAATTAAATCCATGACAGAGGCCATCTCCTGATCACTTCCCTATCTCCCCTGGGAGACTGTTGTGGGACAGTTTTCATCACCTATGGGCTTTCTGAAGGATCCCTGGTGGCCACAGTGGTTAAATGCTTGTCTGCTAACTGAAAGGTCAGTGGTTCAAACCTACCAGCTGCTTCGAGGGAGAAAGATGTGGCA